AATAAATAGAACTCTTGAAAAAAGCAAGCTAGAATTTCTCGAAAAACACTTCGTTCTAGCGCCGGTTAGTGACAGGCGAGCGAGAGGTGTGTCGCTCGAGCAATAGACATGCGATAGGCTGGAGATAATGATTCTGCTTTTTTGCCTCGAGCATCAGTTAGGCAACATGATAGCATAAATTCGGCGTCTCTTTCTTTTAATTTCATACTCAAACCCAAAAACTTCTAGTTCATCTATATAACCCTCCAAAAGACTCCTTTACTTTTACAACTTTTTTATAACAATCATATTCTTTTATAATAATCTTTTTGTCTTAAAAATTGTCAATACAAATAAATCCTGATAGTTTCCACAGGTCATCCTCATCTAGCTTTCGTCAAGCTTCAAATTAAAAGACAAAATAAATTCTTATAAAGCATTTAAATTTCTCTATCTTTTCAACCAGTTATATAAAAAATCCATCACATTTTTAGTTTCAAAATTTCTCATGAGTAATCGCTCATATGTATATATATATTTTATATTCCCCTGAAAATATTTTAAGAAAATAAATTTACCATTACCATCTATTCTCAATCCAACTTGAATCCACTTCAAAGGACTTGTGAGACCACTCAAATTTTACATCAAATTATTCATTGACTACTTTATACAAAGCATTTTCCAACAAAAACAACAATAAAAACCACTTAAAATGAAAGTGTAGATGTGAGCCCCCCTTCTTTTGTAAGTGGGAGTGTACACTGGTTGATCGCCGATATACAAATAGTACAATCCTTACATCATACACAACAGTCACCAAGTTAGATTCTTTTCCTTGCCTAAAGTAGAATTATGGGTTCATTTTGTGGACATTTTTATACTTATTACTCCCAAAGAGGAAATTTTTTGTTTTTCTAGGAATCCATAAATTAGGCATGTAGGAACCAAATTCTACTTCACCAAGCCCTTTTTAGAACTATTTTAGTCAAAGAATAAGTGGCAAATAAAGGGTCATCCAATACCACAAAAGGGAATTTCATAAAAGAACATGAATATATTCTTCCATTAAATCATAAAAAGATTCAAATTTTCAAAAAGAGATTTTTGAGTCAAGAATTAGTCCTCTCCACTCACATACACCTAGTCATAGGGGGAATTTCTTCTAACGTCACATGAAATCCAATCATCAATTTAGTCGTATGATTAAATCAAGTGGGTTAGGCCATTATTATATTTTTGTTTAGAGTATAATGATAACAAAACAAAATTCACTTGTTTCCTATGTTGATATCTACAAAATCTTTTAGTGCGAAAATAAAAATCAGAGCGCATTTTCTGCATCTAAGTTACATTACAAGATTTAGATAATCATATTTGAATCTCTATTAAGATTTATTTTTTCTACATTTGTTTTGAAACAAGATTTCAATATCAACTCTTGTGTTCAATTACTCTTCATCTCCAAACTTAGAAAAGGAAATGAATGGTACATAATTAGCAAGTGCACGTGTGCAAAGTTTAGGCTTTCTTAACCTTTATTAGGATCTCCAAATTCTTGCCCAAACTATCACAAAGTTTAGACAATGTAATGCAACTTATTTCTATATATTTTTTTATCTTGGGTTGAAATGGACTCGATAGATTAAAGTATTGGGACTTAAAGTCCAAAAGAAATTAAGTTTCGTGATTCAATCTCCTTCTAAGCACAAGATCATCATCATATCTAGTCGACATGGGATTTTTGTTCTCAATCCAGTGAAGTACTACGTCTTCGCGGTTTACACATGATTGGCATGGTCTCCCTCGAGTGATACCATATTCTATCTTTTGTTTTCTTTTTCGAACCAGAAAAATTACACACTCATAGCCATCCTCAAGTGATATAATTGATACAAAATTTTATTTAGGGGGTGTTTGATGCACATTTTTTGAGAAAAGAATGCATTTCATGTTGTGATGTGATGAAAAATATGTGGTTAAAAAATAAGAAAATATTTTGAATTTGCGTGTAATATTATTATATTGAAAAATGCGTTGTTGAAAATGAGTTTTTAAAAAATGAATTTTGAAAAGAATGTGGATCAAACGTGACCGTGTTACAAATCATTTAGTAGCTAGCAGAAGGTTCGAAAGGTCTTCCTACTAAAAGGTTGCACGCGTCAGTAATGACATATTTCGTAAAATGGACTCAGCAATAATGTATAAGACAAAAAACGGAATAAGCTAAATCTTGTTCTATTGTATATTATCTGATATAGCCTATGCCATACTTTGTTGCTACTTCTCTTCATTGTCTTTGCAAACAACATTTTTTGGTCTCATGAAGTAAATATTCGAAGGAATCCAAGATTATGTTCCAAAACAAATAATTGGTAGTTTCAATAACATTTAAATGGCCTCCACCAGGGAGTTATTCTTGATTCTAGGACAGAATCACGACCATCAATGAAGTGCCCACAAATAAATGTCCGATAAATGCGTCTAACATATATCCAATCACTATTCTACACGTTCTCGAAGTATTTCCATTTCGTATATTGCGCCTTTTTTTTTTGGCACAAGCATCCTTATTTTTTAAAACTCATTTTTTCTCAAACTAGTTTTTAACCACACACTTCACTTAACTGACAATTTTTGTTAGCTTTTTACATTTCTTCAGATTTTATCAAAATTTTTTAAAAATATAACTTCTATCTAAACCAAACAGGGCCTAAATACATTAGCTCGGTAGAAATTTACAGCTCGACTTCTACTTGGTCAGTTAAGATCTTAGCTTGATTGATCGCGTAGAGGACCTCATGTATGATCGGTTGCATATGAATTTTCCCTAATGACATCCTCAAATAAAAAAATAATTGATTCATTAGAAGTTTTAATCGGGATGAAAAGTGGTTCATGGAAATTTCCTATCTCTACGTTTGTCAATACGTACTTGAAAACTACGCAACTATTACTAAATATTATGTTACCATATGAAAATTTTCGCATTTAAAAACATGAGAAGTGTAAAAAATTTAATATTAGAGTACAAAATGAATTTGATGTTTGATGTACAAATAGTTGAAGACAAAGGTCTTGATGATTCCCTTATTTTTAAATATTTGATTTGGTCAAAACTTGAAGAAGACTTGATCTTCCATATATCCACGAATATTTAGACTCTTTTTCTATTTTATTATTTGGAATATTTTCCTTTTGTTTTCTTTCATATATTGCATATGCTACTAATTTTTTCATCTCATTTGAAAATTAAAATGGTACATTTTTCTTTTCAACTAGACAACAAATCACCTTTGTTAACAAATAGCAAGAAACTAATTAAACCCTTGTTTGAGTTCCATTATTTGAAAAAATTGATTTTGAAATAGTGATTTTTAAAGAGTGCGTGGTTCAAAAGTAAGGATAATTTTTGAATTTATGTGTAATATTATTTTATTGAGAAAATATGTGACTGATAAGAGGAGAAAGAAAAATGAATTAAATTTTAATGGAGGCCAAACATGAGCTAAGTGATTTATAACAATTTTTAGTGGCAAGACATTCAACTGAGCGATTGTTTGACAAAGCTTCGATAAAATTTTATCAATTTTTTAACTGATCAAACTTTAATGCTAACCACACATTTTATGAAATTCATAATTTTTATCTGTTTTTAAATTATATCCCGTTTGGATTTATTACTTTTATCAAAATTTGTTAAAAACTTTATCAAAAACTTCCTTAAAATTGTCCTCTACATGTAATTACAATTAGTTTATCTAATTTGTGGCAATCGTACCAAAACACGCGTCGTGACAAACAGTGCCGACTTATATGATGTAAGGGGGTGTCGACTATTCCCGTTAAAAATTATTAACATATAATTAATCCGTCATTAATTAGCATAAAGAATACGCAATTAGATCTTTCGGTTTTCGTCGTACAATCGTGCGGCGCTCCTCAAATCCGTCACTATAATTAAAAAAATATTTCTATTCATATAATACAAACAATAGTCATTATTATAAACCTTATTTTTTTGTAGCGTAATGCTGTATACCCCCACGAAAAATGCTATGCATCCCCAGTGGGGATGTATCCACAGTCTATGTGGATATAAATAATTGGTTAAATGATAGGTGAAATTAAATGACTTATTTAATTTCACCCATCATTTAATGTCACATTAACGCCACATGAATTGGGGATGCATCCCCAATGGGGATGTATAGCATTTCTCATACCTCCACTGGGATTACAATCCCAGTTTAGGTGGCATTAATGTGACATTAAATGATATGTGAAATTAAATGAGTCATTTAATTTTATCTTTCATTCAACCTATCATTTAATGCCACCTATCATTGAACTCTTTATTGAGTTTGAGCTCAGGAATCTTGTTTAAAGTTAGGGCAAACCTATAGAGTAATAGAAGGGGATGGACTTGGTTTCGATAGGGCACTAGACTCAATAATTCTTTTTTGATTTTTTTGAAGTAAATAAATAAATAAAATTGCGCAAGCCTGAAAAGTCAAGCGTCGTCTCTCTTGACGAGCCAGTCAACGGCTGAGATGAATTGATGTATGACTTATTTCTATAGACAACTTGATCCACAAACTAAGATTTGGGCAACCCGACCCTTTTTAGCACCCGTACCCTTTAAAGTTTTTACAAGTGATTGGCGTGTTAGTTAAACTATGTTTATTTTTAAGTGAGCAAAAAATAAGCTGATCAAATATGCTCATAAGCCTCAAACAAGTTGGTGTAAAAAAATAAAAATATCATTTTACCCTTACAATTTTATGGAATTACAAAATACTCTTACCTTTATATTCAAAAATCATTGAACAACTAAAGGGCATTTTGATAATTCGCGTGAGTGGATAATAATCACTTTAGTTAAATCCTACATTCCCATAATCACTGTACTTTTCACTTGTTCAAGCCCTATATATACCCTCATGCCCTTGTGTCCCCATGCCCAGAAACTCAAAGCAAACTCCATTTTTCAGCTTAAATTTCTCTCTTTCTTCACCAAAATGGGATCAAATGAATTCGAAAGCCTCTGGCTTTTCGCCATAGCTTCAAAATGCAAATCTTTCACTTACATAAACTCCATAACCTTCGCATTTCTTCTTCTTCTCGCATGGCTATGCATGAACTTGATTTTCTGGGCACACCCCGGTGGCCCAGCTTGGGGTAAATACAAATGGCGAAAACTCACTGGTACAAAGCCGATACCCGGCCCGAATGGTATCCCAATTATTGGAAGCATGAAACTCATGATGGGTTTAGCACACCATAAACTTGCAGCCATGGCGGAATTTTGCAAAGCCAAGCGTCTAATGGCTTTCAGCCTCGGCGAAACACGCGTAATTGTTACGTGCAATCCCGATGTTGCGAAAGAAATACTGAATAGTTCAACTTTTGCTGATCGTCCGACGAAGGAATCAGCCTATAATCTTATGTTCAATAGAGCCATCGGGTTCGCCACCTACGGTGTTTACTGGCGGAGCCTCCGTAGAATCTCCGCTGCCCACCTGTTTTGTCCGAAGCAAATTAAGGCTTCGGAGTTTCAAAGGTCGGAGATCGCTAATCAGCTGGTGGCAATGTTTCGGGCTGAAAAGGGTGAGATTTGGGCCCGGGATGCACTGAAACGGGCTTCTCTTAGCAACATGATGTGCTCTGTCTTTGGTAAGAATTACAAGCTGGATTCTTACAATTATGAAACAAATGAATTGCAGAAATTGGTGGATGAAGGGTATGATTTGCTGGGTACGACGAATTGGTCTGATCATCTTCCTTGTTTGTCTGATTTCGACATCCAAAAGATTCGGTTAAGATGCTTCAACCTCGTACCCAAAGTGAACCAGTTTGTCGGCCGCATTATCGAAGAACACAAGGCGGAATCCGGAGAGCTTGGTCGTGATTTTGTTGATGTTTTGCTGTCTCTTCAAGGGCCTGATAGATTGTCGGAATCCGACATGATCGCCGTTCTTTGGGTATGCAAAAAAGCCCACAAACTACTCTAGTCCTCTTCTATGATTCATGTTTAACTATAACTATAATTTTCCAATTATAAGTAGTGCACTTTTGCGGCTCACAACCCAAAAGGGAATACGGCTGAACTAAGTCAATTCAATAAGGTGGACGGCGAAAAAGGCCTCGATCGTAACTGTATGATTAGATATCATAGTTAACCAAATAACTCTAGAAAACACTTACGAGTTCTTAAGGATTGATCGAATGAATATAATTTAGTAAAATGAATATGTATATATCCATCTGATAAGCTTGGTTTTTATAAAATACGACGAACAGTTGAAATGGTTCACTACAACACCTAGTCATTTCATTTGTCTATGATATTAATCTTTTTTTAATCCTATGTTGCAGGAAATGATATTTAGGGGTACTGATACTGTGGCAGTTTTGATAGAGTGGATATTGGCAAGATTGATGTTGAGGCCCGATATCCAATCAAAGGTCCACAGTGAGTTGGACAAGGTTGTTGGAAGTTCACGTGCCGTGACGGAGACCGATTTGGTGGAATTGGTATATTTGGCGGCGGTGATAAAGGAAGTGTTGAGGTTGCATCCACCGGGTCCACTTCTATCTTGGGCTCGATTAGCGATAACTGACTCAGTGATCGATGGATATCGCGTACCAGCCGGGACCACAGCAATGGTTAACATGTGGGCCATCACTAGGGATCCGGAAGTTTGGGATGATCCATTGGAATTTAAGCCCGAGAGGTTTTTAAGCGAGGCTACAAATTTAGAATTCTCAGTGCTTGGATCTGATCTCAGGCTTGCACCATTTGGGTCTGGTCGAAGGTCTTGCCCTGGTAAGACGTTGGCTCTAACCACTGTCACGTTCTGGATCGCATCACTGTTGCATGAATTCGAGTTTGAGCCTTGTGGCCAAGTTGACTTATCTGAGGTGCTAAGGCTTTCTTGTGAAATGGCCAATCCATTGATGGTTAGGGTACGATCCAAGTGATCTATTTGCAGCTCAATGCACAAGCACATGATATAATTATAAAAAAAAGAAATGCAAGAACCCAAAATAGATGAAGAAAATGAAGAACTACTCGTGCATGAAAGCAACTTCAACCCCACAAACCCTAAAAAATAAATACCTTCTCCAACCCTCTTTACCTCTTTGCTTTGTAAGTTGTTGTTGGTGATTTTATCTTTTTCCGTCTTTTATAAGGAGGATTGTCTATCTTTCACTTATGTACATAAATGTCAGTGTGATGCTAAGTACTATTTTCAATGATTTCTGTTTACTCCATTTTTTTAGGCCATAATTGGCCCATACAGTACAAAAGATTATGCATAAAATCAAAGAAAATAATACTAAGTCTCCGTTTGATTTTGATTAAAATCTTAACTTAAATTCAATAATTAATTTCACTCACACATCTCATGAGACTCTCAAATTTTCAACCATACAATTTTATCAACTTTTATCATAATTTATTAAAAGTCTAATTTTAATTTACACCAAACAGGACTAAAGAGATTGTAGTAGTGTGGTTTAATGAGGATATTATTTATAAATTTTTTTATTCAAAAGAATGCTATTTACAATATTTTTTTATATCATGCATGCATAAACCTTCTTCACGCCATATTATGTTATCTGTTTAGCTTAAGAATGTGTAAATTACATTCTTAATTCGACTAATAATACACTTTAATTCGCCGTATTTCTAAATCATACTAAATTCAATATACACTCTAACTCGATGTACCTAACACGATCTTTAATCATGATTCTTATCAAACGTGGTGTTATATGTAGCTTATTTGTATTATTTTCTTATTGATTTTCACATATAATAACTTTACAAGAGTACTTTGTAATCTAAAAATTGTAAAGTAAATTAAATTAAAATGAAATACATACAACTGGTTTTAGTCATGGTATAAATAATTGAGTCATTATCAAGGATCAAGATCACATTAGTGATGGTTTAGCTGTTTAAGTTTGATTATTAATAATAGAATATTTGAAGATAATATAAGGCTTAAAATTATAATGAATTGAATCAAAATTGAAACAGAGCATTTCAGGTTGTATTAATAGAGAGATACATGATGGAAGGAATTGTTTTATTCACGAACTTCACCTTTAACAAGCATAGATTTATTTTTGAAATTTTTCCGAATTACATCTTTCTCAAACTGGCTTATTTGAAAATGGCCTTACTCTGTGGAAGACATATCTCTTCGAATATTTTGAAGTTGATAAAGACGCACCCCTTGTTTCAGTCAATATGAGCCCTTGGGGCCCCAAGACATTACCTCTTTGTTGACTTAGCTAACATATACTTGTTAGACCGCTTTTTGTTTCAAGTCATATCAAATTTGCCGAACTCATTTCAACACGGTTACTTTGATGCAGAGGGCCACGAGAAGTGCGGCAATCTGATAGCACATCCTTTAGTAGATAATGAGGTAACGAGATCTCAATAATATACATTAATTGGTTAAAATACAAGTTAATAAACCAACTATATTTTTTTATGGTATTTGAAAGTTACATAGTTCAACCCTAACAACACCTAGAGGGGGGGTGAATAGGTGTATAATACGAAATTAAAATATTTTACGAATTAAATAACAACAAGTTACTTTTTAATTCTTTTCTATGATTAACCAAGCAAGTCATTTTAGTTCAAAGTTTGAATACCGCATTTTATATCATCAATCAATAAACAATAATAAAAGCAATAAATCAACACCAGGATAATCACGGAGAAACTCAACTAAAAAAAAACTCCGGACACTTTGCAGGTCAACAATCTACTATAAACGATTTGTAACTTACAGTCTACCTACCTAGACGACGACACGTACTATTCGATCTCCTGACTGCAATTCCAGTAGCTTTCCTGGATTCTGTGCTCATGCACCACTCTCAACTGCAGTTTTCAAAACTCTCCTAAATTTTGCTCTTTTGCAGTAATGCCTAACTTTGTGAAATCGTTTATCTTCTGTGAATCCACGAAAAAAAACCATGTTCTTCAACGACTGGAACTTCCAGCCAACTTCCATCGATCTTCAGCAACTCTGACAGATGTGATGGAAAGTACAATTTTGTATTTTGATTATAGATATGATGTTTCTCACCAATCAATAACAATGGACGAAGGTTGAAAGACAAAATATGGTTAATCTCTCACAGATGAAACACTCTCAATGTTCAACCTTGTAGCTTTTCGTACATATGTGTTTTGGTATATATAGGTAGGTTAGCAAACGAATAGGGTTGAGTAAAAATCCTCTAAATCGCGAAATAAAAATTTCCCGGATAATCACGTCGCTCGAGCGAGAGTCCAGCGACGATATTTTTGCTTTTGTAGCTCAAGTCAAAACTTGGCGACAGTCTAACCAAAATCTGCGCCGTTTTCCTTCTTTTGCCAATTTCGAACCTTAAACTTAATAACCTTATTTTTAACTATTTGCACATTACTTCTTGAATTTTTAAATATAGTACAATTCAATCCTTTTGTTTACAGAATTGTCATTACAAAACATCTAAAACCTAACAGTATTGAATATATTGATTGATAGTAGTAAAAGGAATACACGTATATTAGACCAAGGAAGCAAAAATTAGGATATCAAGTACCTGTTGCCATGACTTTTAAAAAATCAAAAAGAGCTTTTGAGTGCCAAACAACTTAGCTACAATGAAAAAAAAATTAAATATAACCCGTACAAATAGCCCGCTAAATGTACAACTAATCTGTTTAGTAATACAATTGACTACATACATGGAAAGACATTGTTATTGAAGTATGACACAAGGATTATAGGCTTACTGTGAGAAGAACGTACATTTATAGTTATTATAGCCACAAACGTGTTCGACTAGGCATATAGTGACACGACGTATGAAAGAGCAAATTATTTTGTCGAATCATGCTTCAGTGATATAATTCTTGACATAATGATTGACATAATGTCAGATGTCACTTCATTATTAGACTATTTTAAACACAATTAGCTTTTTAGTCCAATTACATCTTGATAACACCTATTTATCTCTTTACGTGTCAACCATTTTCTGAAAAAATGACATAACATTTGTCTCTTTTCACTCTTTAGCTCTTAGTCTTTAATAAAATTATTTTTATCGTTACATTTCATAGGATTCACGAATACTATCAATTTCTCCATCACTCATATATCTTATTTTACAAGAATGTTTTCAAGAGACTCTCTATTATTATAAATCATGTGTTGCAATATATGGAATATCTATAGTATTCCAACATTCTCTTTATCTTGAATACTTAATTTTACTACTCTTAATATGCATTTACTATTTTTTTTTTCTAACTTTTATTTTCATTAACTTCCCATCAAATTATTATGTTATATCCCTCTATTTTATTTTATTTTTTATTTTTTTGTATATACTATTTTAGCTCTTGTTTGGTGGCATTTAATTTACTGTCATTTATTTATCATACTTATTTTTAGTTATACATTTACACAATAAAATATTTTACACGTAAATAAAAAAAATACTTTTTAACTACACATTTTTCAAAGAAAACTATTCAAAACATAGTTTTTACGATTATAGGCCACCAAACAGGGGCTTAATTTGGTCAATATATGAAGAATTGAAAATTAAAATATTTTGAATGCATTTAATTATAGATAGTGAGTTTGCTCTCCAAATTTTAAAAATAAAACATACTCTCTATTTCAAAATATTAATTTGAAAAGTATCTTTGAGCATAATTTAAAAGATTGACTCTTTAAAATAAATAGTATTTCACTTTTAGAGAAGCTTTTATGGATCCTCCAAATACCTTATTAGATATATTCTAAATAAATTTACCAACCTATATAACGTGGTTTCTCTGGCGCCAAAGAAAAATGAAAAACATTATTTTCAAAATACTTTTTTCTATCTTTTCTTTTTAACTACACATTTTTCAATAAAATAATATTACACGCAAATCTAAAATTTTTTGTTATTTTTAACCATATATTCTTCATCAATCTATAATTTCAAAATGCATTTTTAGAATAAAAATTGGGCTCAAACAGGAACAGTAAACTAATAAAATTTTAACACACAGGAAATACTAAAAAAAAATTTTAAAAATAGTGGGCCCCAATTTGATACCGTGGTCTAGATTAGATGAATTTCCAAGGTTTTTGGGATAAACAAGAGAACTGAGAGGAATATTTTCTAAGTTTTTAATTTTAAAGAAAATATTAATTGACTCGAGGGATATTTAATTTCTCTAAGAGTTTGTTTGGAAGGGATTTTAATCCAATTAAAATTGAAAATATAGTCATTATTGGATCTCACTCGTCTAATAAAAGTCAACAATAACCGCTAATTTTTTAATTTTAATCCGATTTTAACCCCTCCCAAATAAGCTCTAATAATAATTTCAAAATTATCAATGCAGTGTTATCAAGCCTTGTCACTCTTCAAATACATCAGTATCACATTTGATTGATGTATAAACCTTTAATATTCATCATGTCTACAACTTTAACATATTGAAATATTTAATTTCATGAGAGAAGAGAATTTCAAATGTCGTGACACCTCAAATTTTTTTATTTAATTTAAGTTCCGGTGTCGAGGTATGTGAGGAGCTATTAATATATAGAATGGGGGGGGGGGGGGGGGGTGGGGCGGTTAGACTAAATCAATGTACTTCTTCGCAAGAAATAGGTTTGTTTACGCCATTGCTGATTAAGACTCGATTAATAATATTGTTAATGAATTAACAATTAAGTGATATTAAAAATTCTTTATATTAATATATTTGACCTTGGAATGAATTCTCTAACACTATCACATAATCGACCAATTATCTTCCTTTAATTGTAGAAAATATTAAACAAGTAACTAAGTTTACTATTGCAATGATCATGATATATAGATTTTATATAGAAATATATNATAAGGTTGACATTTTATGATGGAACCCAATATCTTAATATGGTATCAGA